GAGCAGTTTTTTTTACACTGCTGTGGCGTTTAGCTCTTGTAAAGTTTGGCTGTGGARGACCACTCTGTATTAAATCACAGTAGAAAAGTTATGCAATGGTTTGTTTACTCATGAAAACATAAATCAAAAGAAGCAGTWGTTTAAAACTGTATTCCCTTAGAGCAGGTGCTCCTTCAAGCAGCCTTTTGGTAATTTCCTTTAAAACGAACTGCAGGCACTTGTTAGCATGTGAACAATTCTTATTTAGTGTGTCAGCTCRGTTTAACAGAATAGCTGCTCCGCGTGTCACAGAGGGGCTGGCATCAACCTGTCACTTCGCTATCGACCATACCTGACAATCCTAACTAAGATCAGAGCGCCTCACAGGACCAACTCCTCACAACACAGGAAGAGAGCGAGGCGGAATGGGAAGAGTGGAATGACAGCAAGGATGTATTATTCATTTATTCATCATTCTTTGCTCTCCTTTTTTTCTCCCGTCATCATGCCGAACTCACAAAAAACAGTTTGCCCTCTACTCTTCTACCTCCGCAAATGTCAGTTGTTGGAGCATGACTGAGGCAGTGCAGCCAAGAAGGGATGTGTTTCAGTTTAAATTTAGATTTAATTCCTTTTCAATAGTGCAGCATTTCTGGACAAAATGAACAGACAGAGAAAAAAGGGAAAAGGTGAGCTGGTAGGAGCTCTGTAACCCAGGTGCAGGGAGTTCAGGACTGTGCATATGTTTGGGAAACTAATAATGTGCAAAAGCAGCCAGGATCCAGGCTGTCTAAACCAAACTGATGAGAAATATGGAACCAAATCCAAAAAAGCATACACAAAGTATTAAACACGTGTCAGTTCTACTGGGCAAACAGTTGCACTTTCAATTTGAAGTGAGATTGGAAATTAAAAAGTATAAACATTTTATTAAAGCAGCTTCCCACTACATTATAAAACCTTAAAAGTAGCACAGTTTATTTGGACTCTTTACATATGCCCAAGGCCTGAACATGGGCCTGTTCTATAAATGGATCCTACATTCCCCTGTTTTATTGCCCCTTTTTAAGGAGTTTTAAAAAGCAATTTTGCCAATTCAGAGCAGATGCTTTGCTTTCCATTTACAATCCTACCATCATTTAAAATTAATCAGAGTAGAGCATCGCTCCCAGCCAACAACACAACTTTAACTCACATTTTACATCAGTCTTCCCATCCCTGTACCCACCACAGGAAGTTCATTTTGTTACCCACCTTGTATATCCGCCTTGTTGCAAAACAGTGCTAAAAGCCCACTGCGCTCACTATTTTGGTAGCTTATCTTTTTATTTTRATTATTATTTCTTATTTTCTCCATTTCTGACACATTAAAAAAAGTATATAATAAAAATATTTGAATCCCAGTACAAGCAAACAGCTCATTCTGTCTGACTGGTTGAGAAGATTCTGTGCATTACTTTCAGTGCCTCAAGGAGGAGAMGAGGTGGAGAGCATGGCCCAGGCAGGTATTTCTGAAATTGTTCTTCTGTGGTTTAGGGGGCTGATACAGTTGACTGCATGGCTGGGTCTGTGACAGGTGGGRTGGGGAACTCGGAGCCTGCTTCGATGCATAAAGCACTGAATGTGAAGTTGGTATGGAGGTGCATCGATAGACGTATAGTAAAAAAAATTAAGTACACACTTCAAAAACAAACAAAAAAATGCCACTAGTTTACATTAAATAYCTTTTGGCAATTTGTAAAATACAAAAATTAATTTGTCTAACACCTATTTTTCACTAATATRGTTCTGCCACACATTTCTATGGCAAACTGACATATGTGGTCACTTAATAACATCACATCATCAACTTTTTCTTATATTGTAGTGTGCGAAACATGGTTGTGTCATAGATATATTGATCATTTTTGAAAACTCAGTAGCATAAAAGTAGAAACTTTGAAATATCTCATATCTTCACATATACGCCATGATAGCCAAAGATACCCAAGAGGACCTCAGCTAGTGTGGAATTATGAGCTATTCTATGCTTTATTTAACATTAGCAGTGTTGAGATAATCTAGCAATAAGATTGGTTCAATTATTATATCTATCTGATTTTGCTTGCCACCATTTTATATTTAGTTGCCAGTTTGAAAGCTTTAATAAACAGTTGTTTAGTGCATCTTAAGAAAAAAGAGGCAGTAAAACACAGTAGACTGTAAAAAGAGGAAGTCAACATTGCATCTGTGTCTTTAGAAAAGGCAGAGTGCGAGAATATAAGGAAATGAGTTCTGCGCATCTGTTCTGAGCAGCGTCTGATACAGGAAGTTGTGATAACAGCTTAAAGGTTCCAGCATGAGGGAGGTATTGGAAGGAGTTTTCCTCACCTCAACAATAGGAAAATGTAGAACTGGGAGCGTGTGGGARGTGTTTATAGTAGTAATGTTCTAATGTGACTATAATTGCCTAAAAATATGCTACCTGGCACTGACTGAAGTCATTACAAAAATACATAGWAATTTCAGATTAGTCAAATCATGTATGTGCACAGACTACATGTATTTTCACATTCACATGTTATGTATGTTAATACATTGAGGTTAAAAAATGTGCMTAATAAATTGCTTGCCATTCTTAGGTACACTACTGATGATCAAGACTATTAGGGAGTCAGCTGAAGTAGGCAGTCTGCCTGCAAAGTTTGTTTGTTCATGTCTTTGTGGACCTTTTCCACTTTATATGTTAATTTGTGAAATTGTTTACCAGCCAGTGTGTATCTAAACACTCGTGAGACTGAGAGTGACTGTGTAGTGGTGTGCATTTTTGTGGATGCGAAGAATAGCTGCYTGTATGTTTGTCTGGAGTCCTTTTCGATTCTTGCCGGTTGACAGCCTGTGTCAGAGTTTCCCGGGAAATGATGTTTCCACCTGTGACATCTCACAAAAACAGACAGGACACACTCCAGTTCTCTCTCTTTCTTTCTTGCTGTCCTTCTGGCCYCGCGCTCCACTTCTCTTTATTCTAAGAAGAATTGACATTTATCCTCCATTATATCTGCATCATCCAGGTTAAGGCCCAAACACTGTGTCAGGATTTTATTTTTGCATCATATAATGCTGTATTTAGTTGCATCTTTTTTTAATTATATGTTGTAATTGCATTTTTAGTATTTTTGTAAAAAAAAAACTGTTTCATGGCAGAAAACTTTGAGAATACTTCACTTTTCCTATACACCTACAAACAATCCAGTCTTATTAGGGTATCAGTACAAAGATTATTGTGACATAGTATTCTTCCATTTTCATCTTTATTTCTTTTTGAGTTTCTACTATTCCCACAAATTAAAAAAAAATGTAAAAATTTAAAAGGTGTGGCTTGATTGGGATTAGTATGCTAGAAGTACACTGGGCAGTGTAGATGAAATTCCTACAGAGGACAAGAGGATTTTGATGCAATCAGTGGGAAAACCAATAACTTTTTGATCTAAAGATTAGGCAAACCTTACAGTAGAAATATTATTTAAAGTTTAAGTAAGTTAGACTTTTATATACAGTAAATATACAGTATATATATA